GCACGTTTTTTTTAATAAAAAACATTGCGAAAACGTTAAAAACTGAACTGACAATTGGTTTTGGCAAAAACTGTGCCCTAGAAGTAGATGAGCACAAAAATTGGCTCATTTTTATTGGATATTAATAATATGGGATCGGTCTTCGGTCTGGACCTGTCTCTTATACACATCTAGATGTGTATAAGAGACAGTTTAAAGGGAGGACGTCAAAGTTAGAAAAATAAAAATTTTTTATAAAGAGGAAATAGAAATAGAAAGAAGAAATTTTTTTTAAAAAAAAAGAAGAGTGGGAATAAAAGAATAAAATCAAAAAAAAATTTTTTTTTAAAAGGGGGATGACGAAAAAAGAAGAAAAATTTAAAAAAAATAACAAAAATAAGACAAGAGAAAAGAGAAGGAAGGGAAAGGCAGAAAGGAAGATCGGAAGATCAAACTCATCAAAGTAAGGGTTTATATAAAAACAAAAAACGTATCATAACAAAACAATAAACAATCACGTGATCTCGTGTTATGATACGAGATTTTTGTAAGTTTAAAAATTCCGTATACATTCCGTATGATTAATTTTTTCCGTATACATTAGTTTTTTCAAAAAATGTTCAAAAATGAATTGCTTATTAAATATACGGAATTTGTATACGGAATCTATAGAAACGTACATAAAATGTATACAAAACGTATCCTTTCCGTATACATATTTCTTATAGGGCAATATCACATAAATAACCTTTGGATATGATTATAGACAAAATGAATACTAATTTTATCAAAAAATTTTTAGCCTTTTAATGGTAATTTTAAAAACTAAATAAAAAGGAAAAAAATATTATAAGTATTACCCTGTAAATAAAGTCAATCCGTTTTTTATATTCCATCTTTTTTCCGTAAAAGGCTCATATTCCCGGAATTAATAACCTTATATCGCGGAATTTATCGAATTATCCCATCGGTATTATGTATACACCGATGGATTTTTTTGTAAATTATTCTACCGGTATAAAAAAAGTATAAAAAAGTATAAAATCCATCGGTGTATACGCCATACACAATGAGATAAACCTGTTATTCCATGGGTATCTAATAAATACTCCATATACACCGATGCTCCCCTCCCTTTCGGGGGCCCCCAAGGCATCGGTGAATATTTCAGTTATTCATTGATCCCCATGGAATAACAAGTATTTATTTACATTTTCCGTGAATGGATCCGTGAAAGGCTCAGTTTTTACAGAAATAACGGATAAAATTTTTTATAGGGTTATATTTTATTAGATGACTTCGTACCGTATCTGTAAGTTTAGTTGTATTTAAATAATATATACAGTACATCCAGATAAACAGGTACGGTAAGAACGGTAAATAGAAAAAGCATACCGGTTAAAGTTTAGTGTTATTTGTTTGGTTACGGTATGTTCATGTGTATTTGTTACGGTATAGTTGCTTTAATGTGTTTTAGGTATGATTTAGTATTCTCCATTTGACGATCTTAACCTGCTTCTCTGGATATACTACTATATGAACATAACAGTTACACGTTTACATCTTAAAAAAATTTTACATTATAAGATTTATTTAGTTGTTTCAAAATAGTGAAGTTCGCTAGCTGGAGCCTAAAGCTCCGCTCGAACCGGACGATCTTTTAGATTTTAAATATAGAATTTGCGAAATGATCAGCTGATGATCACATGCGCAAATATCATTTATGCTTAATTTCATAGCTCGTGAGCCAGCTTGAACAAACTGCATTGAAGCTCGGCTCGAACGAGCCGAGCTCAATTGATTGCGATCCGCGGCTCGGCTCGGCTGGCTCGAGCTGGGCGGAGTACTACCGGAGCCTGCCTGCCCAGCCCTACTGCTCCCTACTTAGTAGAACACATTCTGAAATGCCTATCGGGCCTCTGTAGCTTATACAATAACTATAGAAGGAAGGCTCAGAGAAGGGGCGGGTACTTACTATTTTTTACATTACGAATTTATCAAATTCAGCCAATTATAGTAGATGAAAAAATGCTAAAAATAATTTTATATTATAGTTATTAGATATTTTAATCTCATCATTTTTATTAATAAATGAAAGCAATGAAACCGTAATGCCAATAATTTTTGTGTAAACTTATTGCATATTGATGGATTAACCATATCAGATTATACAATGATTTGCCGAGTCACCGGTTTTCTCAACAATTATTATTTAAACAATGCTTCAGTGACTCTAATTCACAATCTTTTTATATTAATTTTATTATAAACTATGGGCAATACAAAATCATCCCTTAAAAGTAAAGTATTATCATGTTTCTATAAAAAGCGTACTCCGAAACCAAATGAATCTCAACAACCCGAAATACTCGAACAATATGAACTACTAAACTTAGAAGGAAACTTAAGAAATCCAAAGACTACTTATCATTTGTCAAATCATTGCTATGACGATATTGATAGACAGTATTTTAACCATTTTTTTAGGAGACATATGTTTCAAAGTAGTTTTTCTGCGCCGATTGAAAAAAAATTAATTGAAGGAGGATGTAAAGTGTTAGATGTTGGGTGAGTTAAATGGTAATAAGGGCGTAGTTCTTCTGCATATTTATTTTCAAATCATAATATATAAGTCGTTGTGCTTTACAAATTCCTTAAATTTTTATATTATATATTTTTAAGATGTGGGCCAGGTGCATGGTTGATAGATCTAGCGAATAAGTATGAGGATTCAAATTTCTTTGGAATCGACATAAAATCTGTATATCCAAGTGAAGTAAGTAATACGTAAAAATATAAAGAAAGTAAAGAAAGTAATATAAGTAATTAATATATGTTTATCGTATTATTAATAGGCGATTCCGGAAAATTTAGAGTTCGTTGAAGCAGATATATTCAATGGGCTACCATTTCCTGATGACGAATTTGATTTCGTACATCAAGAGGTTATGGGTCTTATTATCAAAGCAATTCAGTGGGATTTTGTGATTTCAGAACTCGTTAGGTATATAAAATGAATTTTTTGATTTTTCTCCTTTGTAAAAAAAAAAAAAAAGTTTTTTAAAAAAGAAATGTATTTTATAGAGTGACAAAGCCAGGCAGTTTTATTGAATTGGTTGAATACATTTCACCCGAAAAGAATGGTCCCGTAATGAGCGAATTGTATCGCACTCGTAAATAAATTTTCTCATTTTAATTTTAAATTTGATATTTTTATCATTACGTTAACATATATATGTGTGTGTATATTTTTAAATTGTAGATGCGAAAATATGTTTAGAACGTGGGGTTGATACAAGTTTAACTTCTAACCTTGACGAATTGATGAGTTCTCAACGAAATATTTCACAAGTTAACAAAGATAAAAGAACTTTCATTATAGGTCCTAATGGTGGTAAAATTGGATCAACCATCTTAGACATATTAACGACTTTTATTACTTCAGACATTGCAATTGAAGAAATAACAGAATATCAAGGTGTTACTAAGGAGGAATACATGAAGAAGTTTACGAAGCTTAAAAAGGAATTACGAAATACTAGACCAATGCTCACTATTTGTAGATTTTGGGCCCGAAAAGATCTTAACATTTAAATATGCGTTAATCACATTTCATATCTTATTATATTTCAATTTGGTTATAAATTTTTAAAGAATTTATTTCTATTATTTCTATACTTTTGATTTTTTGAATAATATTGATTATGAAGTCATTGTTTAATGGTCTTTTACGATTACAATGTTGGCAAAAAGCAATCGGAAAAATATTTTCTCTATATTTCAAGTTTCAACGATATTAAGTTAATACTCAACCAAATTTGATATTCTTTTTTATTTGTTAAAGCATATGACACTTTAATTATTAATTTTTGAAAAAAAAAATACAAAAAGAAATAAAAAAGGTTTAATTTAATGCGTTATAACACAAAAATTTATTAAGAACATGCTTATCATGAAAAAAAATTAATCTAATTCGTTTAACAATTTTATCACAAGTCCACAACCACCGATCACAGCGAGATTAAAGAAGGTAAAGTATTAGGCAAAGGATTTGGGGTTAGAGAAGGGTATATGTATATATGATTAGGGTAAGGAATTATTGTAAGATAATAAATCAAGAAAAGATAATAATAATAAAAAAAGAAAAATAATTTTTGCAATGACTCGTGCGAAAATTATAAAGATATGTCAACAAGATGGAATTTCTATTGTAATATATGGTCGGTTATTCACGTAAATAAAATAATTACGCAAAATACATAACCTAAAGAGGAGAGTTTATTTTAGAATATGAAATATTTAAGAATAATATAAATTTGAGATATCTTTATTAATTTGTAATATTTACCCGCTGTAGCTCTGGCTTTACTACTCCAAATGTGACCGCAGCACCCCCACCTTCTTCGGATCCCGTATCACTAAATGGCCCGCCGCGTGCGTGTAATTTTGCCCTATTTGTTACTAAATGTGCATAATACACCGGAGGTACCTATTTTAATATAAGACAATTATTACTATTACTGCATACAATAATAACAAATGCAATTTAAAATCTTACCAAAGATACCGAACGCGTACATCGCGCGTATATATAACAGAGGTTATATGATAATGTTTGTAACCTAAATTATTAAATAAATAAATTAGTTACTATATTAAATTTACTAAATTAAATTAAAATTAACTTACATATCTGGATTAAAACCGTTATCGTCATATAAAACATAATAATGGGCTGGCCGAGACGTCCCTAATAGCCCAGCGTGACTTTGCAAATCTATTAAGGATTTAAAATGATTTAGAAATGCTAAAATTGCATATGTATATGTAAATTAGATTACTTACAAAAGTCAAATTCAAATGGATGGGTTATAACAGTCTCGATCACTGTACCCGGGGGACAATTTCCCGTTCTATCGGCATCACGACTATCAATTGGGAAAAAACGTGTGTGGTGCCTCTTCTGCACCACAACAAATGTTATCGTTGGTTTATAATTAGCGTCAAGAGCTTGACAAGCGGCTGTAATAATTATAAGTTAGAAAATAAATCAATCAAATTAACGAAAAGCATGAATATGTAATAAGTACCTTTAATCGCGGCTATTTCAGTAGTTATTATGCTTCCGAACTGGCTTTCAGAAATTCCGTCTCGATAAAATAATATTCTTTCAGGCTTTCGCCCACAAGTTTGGTAGAAAGCTTTTAACAACTCCTTAACCATGTTCGCCAAATCGGCGATGATTTCAGTACGACCTCTTTGGATTCTGATCGATGCAGCATAACGGGATGCTTTAGCGTCCACAGAGGCAGTAACTGCAGCAATAGATGGTCGTTCGTCACTGCCTAAAAAAGAGATGCGAGAAATAAAAATATATTAAAAATAAGGTTGAGGAAAAAAAAATAAAAAAAAAAAATAAAATTACCAGGTCCAGGTGCAGGGTGGGTAACGTCTGCGCCCATCAAAATGGTGGGCCTATCAGATATAAATGGAATTTGTGTAGGATCAATAAACGAATTCATCCCACCGAGTTTCACGTTAATCTTTAGGCAAACGTTCGCACAATATTGCTTTTTAGTCTGTCTTATATATCTATTCTGGACACACTGAGTCGCAACACCGATGACAGTGTCGCTCACACGTTTTATTTCGGCGTATAATGGTTGTCCTGTGTTAGGAAGAATACAAAGAATTAGTTGCGGTTGGGCCTTGGCACTATTGCCAGCCCTTAACCATGCTTGTTTTAATGATTCCTCTATATTTCCTTGAGGGTTCGCATGTAATATTGGTGGATTTTTATTTGGGATATTCTGTGATTATAATAACATTTATTAGAAACTTGAATGATTCATAAAAGAATGATTCATGTGTTTATATTGATTAATTGATTAAGCTTACCATCCCCGTATCTTGACATGTGTTTGCTAGTTCTCTCACGAACGCATTAATATCATGATCAGGTAGAACGTCAGGGCTTAAAAAAGCCAAAACACACCAAGAGCCGAGGGTGGCTCCGGTTGCAACTTTCTTGTCACGTAAGTTCCATACTCCACCTGCCGGTTGGATACGATTATCTCTTGATGATGGATGGTAATGGATCGTTGGCGTTGGTAGAATTCTACCATCCACCTGTTCGCGTTATTGAAAATAAAATTAAAATATAATTTATTCCCGTATCACAATAATACATATTTTAAACCTACCATGGCCATTTCATTAGATACTCTCACTCCAAATTGTTGCATGTATTCATCATTTCGGTAATCTAATATATTGAGCCCAGCTCGGATCTTATTTGCACGAAGGGTCGGATTCTGGCGAGTGAAATTCATCATTTCATCTACCTGTTTTCCATCCAGTTTCCTCATATGTCGTTGACCCTGTTATACACAAAATATTTTTTTTTTTTGTTTAGAAAATAAATTCTTATAATTATATGATATTGTTAGATGAATCACATAATTTACCGGAATTACGTCGCAGACCTCAAGAGGAAGGAAAACGTTCCTTCTTACAATAACGCAAGGAAGGAAGGGATAAATTAGCCGCATATTGTAAGTGGTTTGGAAATAGGTTGCTACGTCGATGGTATTACCATCTTTTTCAAACATGGTGCGCGATGCGGGTGTTTGTGTTAATCTTTCAATTTTGGAACTTGTTCGGGCTTCGGCTCTATGATTAACTCTTATTTTGAGGTTTCTTATTTTTCTCTCAACCTTTTGATGCTCCCTTTCAGAAAGGCCCCTACGTAGATCGTCAGGAGATCTAAGCTCCAATATTTTTGCAACAATTTGCACAAGTCGACCACCTTCATAGAAAGCGGTTGCACTTAAGTCAATGTTTATCATCATTTTGTCACTAGTGGGACGGGCAGATTGATAGTACCCTTGCCATACTTCAGCACCTCCAGAAATAGAACGGGATCCTTCCGGGGTAAAGAATGATCTACCTACAGCAACATGTAAGGTAGAAACCTTGTGACCGATTATTGCGTCCAGCGCCATTATTGCTTATTACATAAATGATTATAATCCATTATGAGATTCGTTTTTATTAAAAAGAAAGAAACTAAGAAATAATAAAAACTTACCCGTTTGGCAATTATTGGTCATCCTACTTCTCGCACGTAAAAACTGAAACAGTTCCCCCATGACGATATCTCCAACCCTTCTAATTCTAATTCTAAATTCACGTGGTGGACGTCTACTCGCCACGGGCGTTCTTTCCTCTAGTGTCACCTAATTTGTTAAATATAATTTATTATACTCTTTTTTTTTAAAAAAATTTCAAAAGCCAAAAAAAGTAAAGATATTTACGTTGAAGGTAGCGGCGTCCCCAAAAGGCAACAATTTGTGGGCGAGCATATTTTTTCTTCCTATAAACAATTTGTTATTAGTTAGTATCCATTTCCATCTTTTAAATACAAGCATATATTTAGATATTAAATAGCATTAATAATTTATAAATAAAAAGAAATTATGAAACAAAGTTTTGATGTCTTTTTGAAGTAATATTTCGCTCCGTTTTATTCAGTGTATCGAAAAATATTTTTTTTTTTTCGTTATTGAATACGTACCATCGAATACTGGTCTTGCGTTTCCAAGGGCTCTTTCTCGGTATTGGTTCACAAAACTTTCAAATATTTTCATATTTAATCGCGGAGGGACCTCAGGTGTAATAGATACATCATAATGTATAATATTATTTTCCGGCATTGTTTTACTTCAAAAAAATTAGTTCGAACTTTAATTGGTCTTCCTTCACGGCCAACGCCTGGTCTTCTTACAAATGGTGTAATTTCCATGATTGATGAAGAAAAAAATAATAATTTTTATGAAGATTTGGAAAGAAAAATCAATATTGAAAAGAGATAGAAAATTTTAGGTGGTGTGAAAAAAAGAAATTTTATTTTTTCTTTTTTTTTTTATGGTAGACTTGGGGAAAAAAAAGGATATTTATAATAACATTGGGTTTTTGTTGAGAAAAAGCAGTAACAATTACAAGTGATTGATTATTGAAAATTTATATTTATATTCCGGAGTAACGGACTTTTTTTTGCGTATGAAATGTACTAAATCATATATAGCTTAGATCAAGTGAATTCGTAAGCCTCATGAAAAACATAAGGTTATTGTCTCCAATTTGGTAAAATTTTTACAAAAACAGTCAACATTAACACTTTCATAATTTGGTAAGTTATTTACAAAAAAAAAGTCAATAAGACAAAGACATTTATTACGTAATTTTTTAGGGGATTCGGGGATTCGGGGATTCGGGGATGCGGAGTTAGCGAAAATCTTATGTTACACTTAATAAAAATCATGTGATCTAATATTGTAATTTAATTGGTACCTCTGATATTATGTAATAAATGTCATTATACCATTATTACTTTTGATAATAACTACACGCACCCGATCCAGATTCAAGATAACATGCAAGGTTCTTGTAATTGATGAATAATTTGAATAATTTCAAATAATTTTACTTCCTTACTTTCCATATATGCACTCATTAAACCATATGATCAAATCGTATGAATGATCTACACAAAAGAAATTTCCGTATTTATATTTTTGATTTAAAAATGATTTAGTCATATGAGTTAAGGAATATATATCACATATCGGTCTTAAGCGTGCAATACAAACAAAGAAGTTGTTTAAACTGGTTGAAAAAACTTCAATAATTTTTACGCAAACGAGGTTAATGAAATAATAATTTTTACGCAAACGAGATTAATGAAAGACGCCAACGGAGTAAAAAAATTAAGAATCGCTTATATAGTATAAATTAATTATTGGCGTATGTTATTGTTCAGTCATTTAGGAATATGCGGAATTTTAATGACGATATTTTTATTATATTGAAATCAGTATTAATTGTAGCATTAATTCCTATTGGTCACCGCAGTATTCAACTATAACTCAGTTATTGAATGGGGGATATCATAAATATTTAATATTAATTTAAACATATATTCATAGCTGATAGTATCATAATAGTTATTTCAGGGGGAACCGTGGATACCATTGATTTCACAGCTGCGCCTTGAAAATCATGTTCCATAATTTAATATATGATAGACTTAATATTGATAAATTTTATTTAATATTGTGAGAAGATAATAATATAAAATACTTTAATTCGCTAAACTATAAGATACCTTATAAAGGAATTACAGAATCACTAATACATTCAAAATAATTCAAATAATTAAAAGTTTCCAAGATCATATCACTTGCTACTAATTCAGTTGTTTCTTGATATGATGGTGGTTGTAAAAAATAAGAGATATAATCATTCATGGCTAAATAATTTTCAAATAAAGGAATACTCACAATATTAACATGATTATCACGTTTGATCATTTTTCTTTTATTGATGTTCCAAACATTTTTTAAATCATTTCGAGAGCGCAATATTCCAAATTTTTCTTTCATTTTTAACTGTAAAAGTTTCCAAGAAATTGGTTTGTTATTAGAGTTAAGATAATTCTCAACCCATTCAAAGATATACTCCTTCTCATGGAGAGTGATGGGTACATCTTTAGCTAAACACACTATAGAACAAGAAAATAAAAGTTATTATAAAATTTTTCTAATAAAAGAAAAAAACATGTGATTTTTACATTTTGGGTTTAGTTTATTCGTCCAGCTAAAATTTATGATATATTATTAGTTATAAATTAAAAATAATAATAATAATAATAATAATAAACTTACTGGTGGCATATTTTTTTTGGATCATGTGGAATCATCTTGCTTATTTGAACAAAAGGATCCCGTTCAACTTTTCCGTTGTTAATCCATTTCTGCATGTAATCAACAATAATTTTTTCGCTCTAATATAAAAACAAAAATGAAAAAATAAGAAATAAGAATGAAAATGAAAAATAAAAAATAATAAAAAATAATAGATTTAATATAAAGTTATTTAACATACATCGGAATCAATCTTGTTATATCTTTTCTCTCTTTCACTTTGATAATTCATGACTTTATGTTATCCGTCAGTGAGCAAAAAGAAGAGGAGTATGAATTTAATGTTTAATTTCTATTTATTATTATTATTATTATTTTTTTGAAGTTGAAGGGAACGCTCCATTCCCACTATATTTATATTAAAATCTATAATATGACCACCTCTTACGCTCTGATTACGTACAATTATTTTGTGTAATATTGAAAAAGCGTAAAATATTTACGTATAATGAACTTTTCAATGATATTGATAAAGTATTAGACAAAGGATTTGGTTATCTTGATTTTTATTCGTTAAGGTCTAAATTTTAATTAACAAATTTTCTTCTTTTTCTTAAATCTTAGATGTACCATCATTTACATTATTAATTCTATATAAGGTTATTAATATATTAATTTATTAACTTTTTCCATAAGTACGCAATGCAATATTTTGTGTAATATTATGAAAAAGAATGTTGCAGATCCTGACATAATGTATATACTGAATTATGACATTCGATAATTTCGATGAAAATATATGTAAATCACCTTCGTTTCTATTTTTATATCGAAATCTTTTTTTTTTAAAAAAAAAAATATATAGTAATAATGATAAGAGATTTATTTTTCGTTTGGCATCTCATCGTGTGACTATGCAGGGAATACAATATACTGCATAAAATCATATGGACATGGCATTTCATCGTGTGACTATGCAGGAATGCATAAATCATATAGACATGTAATATTCTTTGATCATGAAGAGATATATGATGGAATAGTTTTTCTTTGAAAATAAAAGAATGAAACCTCCATCTGGTATTATCAATGATTTTTTTGTATGTACTAAAAAGATGTAAATCGCCTCACCTGAGTTAAAAATAAATTTTTTTATTTATTGAAAGAAGAATTTATTAATTATTTTGTTGTTTCGGAAATGAAACAATATTCCGTTCAATGAAATCTCATGCAACTCATCAAATGACGATCAACATACTATCTCAAATTTGGAAGTACATTATTGATACGCCAAAAAAATATTCTCGTCTGATGTTTTTAATTCGTCGCTCTATTTTTATATTTAAAAATAATATTTTTCGCTAATACAAAATAATCTATTAATAAATTACGAATATTGTTAAGATACTAAATTCTTTTAATACTATTTTTGCTCAATTTTTTAATCAAAAAAGGGCATTATATTATTTACTATTGTTTATGCAATTAATATCGTGATGAAAAAAGTGCAGCAGTTTGTTTGTTTATACTGACCATTAAAATTAAAATTTACTAAAATATTCTTTATAAAGATTTATTGATTTTTGACAAAAATAAGATAAGTATGCGCCGACGGTCACGTTAATAATTTTTATGAATATTAAAATAACAGTAAAATTTAATGAACCCGCAGATCATGATAGAGATATCGAATAACAAAAGTGGGGTACGAATAACAACTGCCTTAATATTAATTTATAAATAATAAATCTTAATAATAATAATAACGATCATGAATTATGAGCTAGAGACCAGAATTTTAAATTCTTTACATCTTCCACTTCCAGAATTAAAAGATTGCTGAAGAGGATTTTAATCGGCAACGACAATAATGACATTTTAAATATAATAGAATTATAAGCAACATGAGTTATTAATTAATAAAACTCGAGGCCAGTGGTATAATACATTAAATCTATGATTGCGTGGATACACCGATAAAAAGTTCCAGAAATTGCCAGAATCTATGATATGGACATTTTATTTAAATGTAGAAGGAAATTTAACGGTAGATCCTCGATCCTCGTCTTCCATGATTCAGCTTCTGATGATGATCGGCGAAGTTGTGATGCAATTTTTCTGCGGAGAATAAATCTGACACATAAACGTGATTGGTCCATTACATATTTGTGTAACTTGAGTATTTGTTTGACGCTTCTTTTGTTTTTATTGTATTTATCGGTTTTGTTTTCGAATTTAGCAAATATAAAATCAGTATAAAACAAATAATTGTTATTGTATTTTTCCATAAACTCAAAAACTTTTCATACTTTTTTTTTTCAATCATAATGTCTAAACTCATTCCTGATATTTTCGCTTTAATAATTAAAGAGTTGAATAATGATTATGATACATTATTCAGTTGTCTTTTAGTGAATAAACTTTGGTGTGAGTTAACTATACCAATATTATGGAAAGATTGTTTAAATCATAATTCAAAATCAAGATCTCATGAGAAAAATATTTCACTTATTAAAATTCTTTTCACATTTTTATCCGAAGAATCAAAAAATTTACTTATTATGAATGAAATTAATTTATCATTTATACAAACACAAAGACCATTATTCAATTATATAATTTATTGTAAATCTATTATTACATTTGACGTAATAGAAGTTATTAAAAATTGTTTCGAACCACCACTTTCAAGAAATCAGGAAAAGATTATAGAAGAAGAATTTTATGATATGATTTTTAATAAATGTTCTTATTTAAAACATCTTGGAATTTCTCATAAATTATGTTATAAGAAACATGATATGGTGAATTTTATGAAATTAAAAGATAATTTATCAAATCTTGTTGAATTAACTTGTACACAATATATAGATGAAAGAATCTTTTATAACTTGGCAAAAATTTGTGTTAATATTAAAAAACTTGAATTAAAAGGTAATAATAAAAATAATAGTCAGGGATTAATTAAATTAATTGAAGTTCAAAAGAAATTAGAATATTTCATTTATAGTGGACAAAAAGGACAGAATTGGGATAATTTTTGTGAGATGATAGGTCAAGCATTAATTAAACATAAGAATACACTTAAACATATTCATGGAAAAATTCGATTATGTATTCCTCTTAATATTTTAGATTCTTTTGTAAATTTAGAAACTTTAATGTTAGGATATTCCACGAAAACTATGAATGATTTATATTTAGTTAAATTACCAAAACTTCTTAGTCTTAGAGTTTGTCATCTTACAGAAATAAAAGAATTAATACAAAATACAAGTGGATATCTTAAAATGATTAAAATCCATAATCAATTTGCCAAGAATATTAAAGCAGAAGATATTATACAAATCGTTATAGCAATATATCAAAATTGTCCAAAACTAGAACATTTATGCATTCCCTTTGTCGATACAATCGACGATGCATTAGGAGACCTGTTAGTTCATTGTAATCAATTAGAATATATAAAAATATATGGTAGATTACCTTTTTATGAATCTTTAAATGGTGATGTGATATTAAAAATTTTATCAAAATCAACTTCAAAAAAATTGGAACGTATTGAGATAAGAGGGTCATGGAAATTTTCAGTTGAATCATTGGAAGAATTTTTAAATAATTTGAAAGAAAGAAATTATTCGCTTTATTTTAAATTTGATTTAAATGATGATGATTGTCTCAATGAAGAATTTTCAAGTATAATTCAAAATTTTGTTGATGATAATGTTCTTAAAATTAATCCACTTAATTATCAACAATTTTTTTTGTCGAGATTTTCAATTCTCCAATGATAATTTAGGGGGATTACTTATTAGTTGTCTTTCATATTTACTTGAAGTAGTATATCATTATTATTTTAAAGATATAGATAATCTTGAATTTTATTTCATTTGTATTTCTTGTGTAATAGAAAATATAATAATAAAAAAATAGTTCATATTGAATTAAAATTCGATACGATTAAATTAATCGTTAATACATTTTTTTGTATTACATAAGATATCAACAATTATTAAAATTATTCACGTTTCGCTTAATTTGATCTAGTGGATTCCATGATCGGCGGAAATCAGACGATGAACGAGTGAGTATTATCAATTGGTGGTGTGAGGACATCATCCCTAGCGTTCCCAAGAAAAAAAGCACTTGACACGTGACCATGTAAAAATCACACACCCCTCAATGTTTTCATTGTTTATATTTATCTGAGTTTTTTTCGAGTTGGTAAAAACTTATTCGTCACTCATTATTTGTCACCGCACTGTTCACGTGACAGTGCATAATTCCGCATAATACCGGCCGCCAAGTGCTTTTTTTCTTGAGAACGCTAGGGTAGTTTTGATTTTTACATGATAGGCACGCGTCAAAAACAATAATTAAGAAATATATATATATATATATATATATATTCATAAGAAGNAAAAAAACAAAAGGAAGAAAATAAAAAAAAAGCAAAAAAGAAAGAAGCAAAAAAAAAAAAGATGTTAGAACAAAGTTAAAGAAAGAAAATAGAGAATAAAGGAACGAAAAAAATCCCACCTATATGGAACCGAAATGCCAAAGCGAGCGCCGAAGTTGCCAAAGAGCTGGGACCTAAGAGGAAAAAAGAGTTAGAACGATAGAACGAACGAAAAAAAAAGGCAAAAAGAAAAAAAAAATGAAAAACGTACCTTAGAACCGAAGAGTCAGGATCTAAGAGAAAGAAGAGTTGGAACGATAGAACGAACGAAAAAAAGACAAAAAGAGAAAAAAAAATGAAAAAAGTACCTTAGAACCTTGGAACCTTGGAACCGAAATATCAAGGCGCCGAAGTTGCCGAAGAGCCGAAGCAAAACATAAAAAACAAAAATAAATGCCCAGGGTAAATTATACAATTTTGCTTTTCTTACTTTTTTTGAGATGTTAAATGAGTTTATATTAATTGGAAATTTTTTACATTATAGCTCCCCGTTATCCTTATGTACAGTACTTGCATTTGAACCATCTGTTATTGAAGTACGTCATGTTTGAGAGGAAAGAATAGTCGGAACGAACGAAAAAAGAAAAAAAAATGAAAAAAAAGATGCAACCGAAGAGCCGAAAACCGAAGAGCCGAAATGCCGAAGAGCTGGGACCTAAGAGAAAAGGAAGTTAAAACGAAGTTAAAGAACAAAAAAAGAACAAAGGAGCGCAAAAATAAGAATCCACTTGTATGTGAAACCGAAATGGCAAGGCGCAGATATTATATATATATATATAATTAAAATTTTACTAAATATTAAGTTAACTTAGTTAAAAGTTGAATCCTAAAAA